GTGGAGTTGACTGGAACTATTCCTGTGCTCTAGATACCATATGAGAAATAGAGAAGATTGGGAGAGAATATCCCTTGTGTGTGTTGCATACACATAGGGTAATTTATTTATATTGTAAGATATGGGCCAATGCCCTTAATACATAATAGACTAAGCCCAAATAACAGAAACACACATCTTAACATCTAACACAAATCATCTAGTTGGAAATCAAGTTCAATTATTTCAAGCTTGGTTCATACAATTTGTATGCTCCAGCTTGAGGGGGAGTGTTAGAAATATTATATCTTTTATCTTTATCTTTTATCTTTATCTTTTATCTTTATCTTTTATCTTTCAGTTAGTTTGTTATTATTTCTTATTTGTATTTTGGGCTTAGCCCATATTTCTTCTATTATAAATAGAGAACTCTATGTGTGTTTAACACAAGGGAGATTAATCCTATATATAATTTTCACTATATTTAACAGTGTGCTTTAGTGTTTTTGGCAACTACCTGAAACAACCTTATTTTCTTTATGTTAGAATGCTGATCTATCAGCTTCGGACACAAGAACAATGTTTGAAGAGCAGAAGAGAATTATACAGGGGCTACATGAGCGTTTGGCAGATAAAGAATTTCAAGTAGTAGAAGGAGAGAAGCTACGAAAAAAACTGCATAACACTATTTTGGTAGGTATTTCTTGCTTTTTATATATATTTTCTTTGATTTTTATGGTGTAAATCTCCGCTTATAGGTCAATGATATCTAATTAATTTCTATTTCAGGAACTAAAAGGAAATATTCGTGTTTTCTGCCGTGTACGGCCGCTCCTACCAGATGACAGTGCGGACACAGTTGTTTCATTCCCTACTTCAACAGAAGCTCTTGGTCGGGGCATTGAATTAGTACAAAGCGGTATATATACGAACATTTTTGTAACTCTTCAGCTTTTGTATTTTATGATTTACGTGTTTAGTGCAGTATACATGCTTAGACAAGCATCACAATCCCACTCATTAATGTTGAGCAGGACAAAAGTACAATTTCACATTTGACAAGGTGTTCAATCACGAGGCTTCTCAGCAGGACGTTTTTGTAGAGATATCACAACTGGTACAAAGTGCACTTGATGGCTACAAGGTAATTTCTAGTTTGCTTCCTTTCCCTTCAGTATTTCTCTAGCAGATCGTAGTACACAGGAAATAATTATCAAAATGGCTAGCAAGAAAAGAAATAGCCATTGGTGTTTGGGACAGAAGAAAAAAAAACAACTTATCCCAGTGCCTATGTTTGGGACAATGATTTTCTATTTTTAAAATACCATGGATGATTTCTTGCATTTGAGCAATCCTACCAAATTTCTTGGGTGCAGTGGTGGTAAAACCAAAAAAATTAAGTGATTATATTAACATTTGGGATACTTTTTTGTTTGTTTAAATGAAACACTGCGTGAGAGATAAAATTAATGTTTTTATTATTGTTTGTAGTATATGATTGTTTGTTTTTTTCCCTTCATAGGAAATAATCACTAATTAGTGATTATATAGGTTGTTGTTAAGTGTTCACTGACCGCTTTATCTCAGTATCTTCCTTGAGTATGCTATCAACGCTTGAAATATATATTCTTTAAATTTGTTATTTATTATGAACTCTAGCCTCGTAAGATGGCTGGCTGAAGACAACTCAGTTGTGTTTATTTCTTGAAAAGTTGTCTTAGCCGTGGGTTGGAATGAATTATGTACCATTTTAAATACGCTTTACTTGAGGCTTATCTTTTTCGTTCATATTTTTTATTACTTTTGTTTGTGTATTTGGGTCTAAGCCGTGTCTTGACACAGAGGGCCATGGTTTGCTATGACAGGTATGCATATTTGCATATGGACAGACGGGTTCAGGTAAAACCTATACTATGATGGGTAGGCCTGATGAGCCAGATCTGAAAGGGTTGATACCCCGTTCTTTAGAACAGATATTTCAGACTAGCCAATCTCTAAAAGATCAAGGGTGGAAGTACACAATGCAGGTTAGTATACTGCATCCTGATTTTCAATTTTCATGTGGCCACATCTTATGGAAACTGAAAAATTTAATTGAACAATTCCAGGCATCAATTCTGGAAATATATAATGACACCATCAGGGATTTGTTATTAACCAATCGGTCAAGTGATCATGCACGGACGGAAAATAATGCTTCCAGCAAGCAGTACACTATAAAACATGATGCAAACGGAAACACACATGTTTCGGACCTCACAATAAAGGATGTTTGTAGCGCAGATGAGATTTCCTCCCTCCTACGACAGGCAGCACAAAGCAGGTATATGGTCTTTAATATTTTGGTCATGAAAATGATTGCTTTGAATGAACTGTCTGGATAAATGTGTGCAAAGTCTGATTCATATGAATTTTAGATGATTTGTTATTCATTTTCAACTAATCAGTTGAAGCTGCTAAGGATTCCGTTTATGGTTTATAAGTATACTCGATTCAGTTAGAAAATCTAATAATTTATTAGGGACAACGTGCTCTTGTTATTGGTCTACAATCTATGTATAAATAAGGACAATGGGAAATTGTGGGACTCATTTTTTTACAGGTCAGTGGGAAGAACACAAATGAATGAACAGTCATCCAGAAGCCATTTTGTCTTTACACTGCGTATAAGTGGGAAAAATGAGGTACATGCTTTCTTAGTACATATTTTGTTTCTGTTCTTTTGTCCTGTTGACATTATTTCCTGAGGCACTTTCTCTATTTTATAGAACACTGAACAACAAGTCCACGGTGTCTTAAACCTGATCGATCTTGCTGGTAGTGAAAGACTCTCAAAGAGTGGGGCAACTGGAGACCGGTTGAAGGAAACTCAGGTATTCATTGCTGTTAACTTGGGCAGCATGCCAACAATTCTATTTTTCTTGTGTTAACAGCGTTTTTATTAACTGTCACGTTCAGGCTATCAACAGAAGTCTATCTTGTTTGAGCGATGTCATATTTGCTTTGGGAGGAAAGAAAGAAGACCATGTTCCTTTTAGGAATTCAAAGCTGACGTACCTTCTCCAGGTTTGTTAACCTGTTCAAATTTTCATTATTGATGAATTGATGTGGTGGTTGTTATCATATTCAAATTAAAGAGTGAAAATGTTACACTACTTAAGTATGATCAACTTTTATATGTTGATAAAGGAAGATCTTAGTTTAAAATTGCTTTGTTCAATGGCAGCCATGTCTCGGTGGCGACTCCAAAACGTTGATGTTTGTCAACATCTCTCCTGATCAATCTTCCACTGGTGAGTCACTTTGCTCCCTACGCTTTGCAGCCAGAGTCAATGCCTGTGAAATTGGGATTCCACGGCGTCAGACTCATACATCATCATCACGCTCCTCAGAATCCCGTTTGAGCTACGGTTAAAAGAGAGCTTGGCCTGACAAATGGTTTCATCCATGCCAAAATTAATTGCTTATTTTTTTGTCCTGCTTTAGCGGCAGAATGAAGAAAATATATATATTCTTTTTAGCTGCTGACGAGTGTAAAATTTAGAGAATCAAACTTGTGTAAATGGTTGTAGAGGCTTGGCTTTAGCCTCCAATAGTATGTACAAATAATTTGTGTACCATTCAGATGTGACATAAGATAGATCTCTATTTGGCTTTTGCACTTGTTTATTCCAATGATTCTTGCTATCACAAAGCGTTATTTGTCCACAAAAGCTCTTCCCAGAAGGTTAAAATTCTTGGTCTCCCTCACTATTTATGAGCTTAAACTTCGTTTTGACATGATTTTAGACGACACCTGTAAGATGAGCCTTGAACAACACAACAGAACACTGGGGATCGGGCGGTGGAATTCAATCCACTCGAGCTATTTTGTTTGCCGTGTGTACAATTTATAGACTGGCTATGGTGGGTTCACAAATCATCCTTCATCTATTCTAATAAAAGAATGTTGTGCTGATTGAATTGAATTTCTTTACTTCTTTTCTATTTAACTAGTCGATTGAGCGTGTAAGCACGGGTTCTCTATTTCTTTTTTAATTTTGTTTTCATTTTGAATATAAAAATAATATAGTAGTGAAATTATTATGTAATAAGATATGATAAAGATTAGGTTATATTATTTTAATCGTTATTATTAGAATAATCAAGTGGTAAATTGAAGTGATATAACAATAATTTTAGTATTAAATATGATAAATGAAATTGATATCATAATATAGTGTCGGTAAATGATTTTACGAAATAATATGTTAAATTGTATACAGTAGAATACTTATTTAAAATATAATCAGATAGAGGTTATGTAAAATTGTTTTGTTATTTTATATTAGTATTGTAAATCTCTTGGTTATTCCAGCTTTACATGTTTTTATGGGACTATCTAAGCTTCTCTTGCATTTATCTAGGCTACTAAGGTGTTTAGTTGGCTTATTCATACTACTTACTTGTCTTGTCGAGTTCTCTTTGTTACTAAACAATATTATTAAGTTCTCCACTTTACTTAGCTCTATTATTAAGTTTTCCACTTTACTTGATTGTCTTGCTGAGTTCTTTTTCAACATCTTTATGAGAAGGTCGATCATCTCTTTTCTTCCATTTTCAGACCGATAATCTTTTACAAAATGTTTGACTTTATCATAATTGAAACACTTGCTTGAGTAAAATGGACCAGGGGTTGCAATAAAAAGTGAGTGCTCCTCCCTGCACCTCACCTGTTTTGTCGTGCACCTCCAATTTTTATTTAATTTCCACCTTTTCCCTTGGCGCACTTTCAACGCCGGCTACCGAACTTCCAAAACCGGTTAAATGGCACTGTATTTTGAATTGCGATTCTTTTTTTTTTCATTTTTTCTATATTATTAATTTGGCTTGTTAATAATACAGTACATAGATAATTGCTACGATATCATTGATATGTTATTCCTATACTTGTTTATCCATTACAACTTACACTAATAGTATTATACAAGTGCCAAGATAGATTAGTAATCCAACAATATGATTTATAATCTTGTAATTATTATACATGTTCACTATTTAGCAAAACCAAATCCAATCATGAAACCCTTACTGGGGCCCCTTTATCACCGTAGATACATGACTAGGCACAACTCCTTCCATATATGGGACTAGGGCAAGACGCGAAAGTCCAAAATCAGCCGCTTTTGCCGAAAATTTAGAGTCCAACAATATGTTGCTGGCCTTTACGTCTCAGTGGAATATTGGAGGATCAACTTTTGTGTGTAGATAGATACATGAGGCCTTTAGCAGCCCCTAGTGCAATCTTTAATCTCATGGAAAAAGTCAGGGGTTCTTTCGCTCTAACTGTAAACAATAGGCTTACTCTTAAGGGAGACATCTTAAAAAGGAAATTAGGCACACAACTACGTATGTTGGGCTTCGAGACAAGTAATATGTTCAAAGCATATGTGGCTACTCATTCATCAGAATAATGCAATGAACCAAAATATTAATAAATTCATAATATTAGAAAATAAGAGCATAATTTATACCATAAAGGTGATCCTCAATGTGCCATTAGACATAAATTCATAAACCAGCATCTACAAGCATGAAGCAGCAAGCCAAATGGAACGAATTCAATATAGTCAGAACCGTAATTCGAAACGCGGTAACATTCAACCGGCGTTGGAAATGCGGTAGTCGGTGATCGAATTGTGGCAGGGGCAAAGATGAAAATTAAATAAAAATTGGAGGTGCATGACGAAATAAGTGAGGTGCAAGGAGAATCACTCTAAAAAAATTAGCAAGGTGAACTTAGAAAATCCCATGTGTAGATGTTTGATGGTTATGAGGATGTAGAATAATGGTAAACGTATATCTCGGTGTCAAATTTTACATCTTGGGGCTCGATAAGCTCGACTCTAGCTCGGGAAAAAATGTTGCTTGATACATATATGTTACAAGTTTTTTTGTTACGCTTGGTGTGGATTCTATGAATGATTTGTATGGCGAAGTTGAGTGTTTGAGTATGAAGAAGCACCCAGCCTAATAATTGATAATATGGTATGACACAATATATTGTTGTCTATTTGCAATAAGGTTTAAGGTAACAAAATAACATAATTAGGTATAGTCAGAGTGCTTAAGTTGTACATTTACCAAGTCACAGAAAAAATATGGATGCAGTCCTTTGATAGTCCTACAGACCAAGCCTTTTATTGGTGTTGTTTTATTCTGAAATTGATATGGAACAATTAAAGATAATTGTGGTAATAAAGGCATAAGACGATTTGGTTTGGTACTCACTTGTCATAGATTTTGGAAAACTTTAAAAACTTCATTTGCTGTATAGTCCAAAGGCCTTTCTTGTTTGTCATGGATTAGTATTTTCAATCCATCTTTGCTCCGTACTCTAGGTACTACAACATATAGTTGGCCATGACTTAAAATTAGAGATGGTAAGTATAATCCTATTGATGCTAGTGATTGTCCTTGGGATTTGTTAATAGTCATTATATAGGATAAAATAATTGAAAATTGTCTTTTGACAAACTTAAAAGGCTATGGTGACTATGATGGTGACATAGACATTCGTGGTATATATACTTCATGACTAGTCTTATTTCCAGTAATAATCTTTGCTCTGATAACATGGTTTGTCAATCTTGTAACTCTTAATCTAGTATCATTACACAAACCCTTGGTTTGATCCAAGCTCCTCAAAAGCAAAATTGGTGTCCTAATCTTTAAACTAATGATATAATTGTGCAGTCCAAATGTGTTTAATGTATTGAGGAATTCTTGTGTAACATGTTGATATGTAGTTTGAATCATTTAGTATTATCAATGCTATAAGAGCTTATATATTATCTTTTTAAGCTTGCAATTTTGAAATTGTTAGGAACAAGACAATAAAAGGGAAAGAGAGAAATAAAGGAGACAAGAATTTAACGTGGTTCAACGTATAAATGTTAATGTCCACGACTACACTAGAAAATATATTTATATTTTGGTGTATCTCTTAAACTTTACAAAGGATTGCTTATATAGCTAAAAAGAGAAGAATATCTCACAATATTAAACGATGTGAGACTAAATGAAGCTCCACAATACTACTAATTCTCTAACTTGGAGCTTGATTTACATTATCCCCTAGTGTAGTTACGTTCATCAACAATTAATCTTGAAGGCCAGTTGAGGCAATAGAAAGCCTTAACTTATTTGTTATGATAGTGTTGGTCAACATATCAATTGGATTCTCTACATTTGGAATCTTGGACAAAGACAAGTCTCCATCTTTTATCAAGTTTCTAATAAAATAATACTTCAATTCAATGTGCTTGCATTTAGAATGAAGAACTATATTTTGAGCAAGATATATAACACTTTGACTATCATTGAATAATGGAGGACCATCTTGCACTTTTCCTAATTCTTTTAGAAGGTTCTTCAACCATATCATATCCTTTGTTGCTTCTGAGATAGCTACATACTCAACTTTATAGGTTGAGAAGGAGACTCTTCCTTGAAGTTTAGACTTCCAACTGATAGTTGTACCACCTAACGTAAAAATGTAATTTGTTGTGCTTTTTCTACTATCCGGATCTCCTTCCAAGTCTGCATCAGAGAACCCTTATAAAGTAATATTGCTTCTTGTAAAAGACAAATGCATCTTTGAAGTGCCTCTCAAATATCTCAATATCCACTTCACACCTTCCCAATGCTTCTTTTTGGGAGTTGACAAAAACCTACTCATAACTCCCACTGCATGTGTTATGTCAGGTATGGTGCAAACCATATCATACATTAAGCTCCCTACTGTAGAGGCATATGACACTTTAGACATGTAAGATTCTTCTTCATCTGTCTAAGAAGATTGCCCTTTGGAAAATTTTAAGTGAGTTCCCAAAGGTGTATTCCTGGTTCTTGCATTTCCAACATTGAATCTGCCATGTGATTTTTCTATATATTTCTCCTTAGATAAGTTCAAAATACCTTTAGATCTATCCCTGGAGATTCTTATACCAAGAATTTGTTTGGCTGGGCCAAGATCCATCATTTAAAAATTTTCTGACAATTATTTCTTGAACTTGTTAGTTTCTGCCATATTAGCTCCTGCAATTAACATGTCATCAACATCTAAAGCAAGGATGATATAAGTGTCAACATATTTTTTCACATAGCAACAATGATCTTCTTCACATATGTGAAAACCTAAGTTTCTCATAAATTCATTAAACTTCTTGTACCATTGTCTCGGTGCTTGTTTCGATCCATACAAGCTTTTATGAAGCTTGCATACAAGATTCTCATTTCCTTCTGCTTCAAAACCTTCTGGTTGTGCCATAAATATTTCGTCCTCAAGATCCCCATGTAGGAATGCAATTTTGACATTTAACTGCTCTAGATGAAGATTTTCTATAGGTACTATACTCAAGATAACTTTGATGGTACTCATCTTGACAATAGGAGAGAAGAATTTTATGAAGTCAATACCCTGTTTCTGTTGGAACCCTTTCACTATAAGTCTAGCCTTATATCTTTTATTGTCGTCTGGTTTTTCTTTTAACTTATAGACCCACCTATTTTGCAAAACCTTCTTTTCTTCTGGTAGGTTGGGTAAAGAACATGTTTTACTCTTTTAAAGAGACTTTATCTCATCTCTTGTTGCTAGCTCCCACTTAACAAATTCATCTTCCTGCATA